TCCCCTGTAGTTGAAGCTTAACTTATTGTAGTTATAAATAAAGTGGAAAAAGGAACAGGTTTTCCTTGTATCACTACTATTTAAGAAAGTGTTAGAGGAGAGGGTTTGTTTATCTGTGAGGGGCACTTGTGTGACAGTATGGCTTAGGGAGTGGGCACTTATTTGGGAGAAGTGCACTTATTAGAGTAGGGGGGGTTATTCAAGGAAATACATTATTTATTTAGCATAATGCACAGTACTAGTGGTGATCATGAACTGTTAATTTCCTTGTTTTTGTTCTGCTTGGATAGGGAAGAATGAAGTTCCAGAAGGCAAAGGAAATTTATGAAAAATACTTAGCACTTGAGAATATTGACCCAACGTTGGTGAGTATAATGTGTATAGGTAGCATCTATTTCATTTTATCTCCCTAATTTGAATATTTATAATTTTCAAATTGAATGACCAAATTATAGACAAAGTCAGGTACTGCTAGTACTGTTTCAAGGAACCAACAATTTGTACTTGGTTGTTTTTTATGAACCTGGACAGACAAAACTCTTACCTAATGGGCTAGTTTACAATGAACCAATGCAACCAAAAACCCTTTAATTCCCATAAGCGATTAACAGGTAACTTCTTCCTTAAATATTCAGTCATTATCCAGTAAACAGGTAATGAGAACACTCAAACTTACCTGGTAGAAGTTGTCTTGATCTAACACCAAATTCTTGTAACTAAATTACAGAGACATGTGTAGCAGCTATAGAGGGGAGAATTAACAGTCAGCTCTTGGGAGTTAGATGTTAAATACGATGTTATGTATGCTAGTTGACAGTGGTCCATCTTTTGTAATTGTTAAAAAATTTTTTTTCAAGGTTTATATCCAATTCATGAAATTTGCAAGACGGTCTGAGAGCATCAAAGAAAGCAGAGCAATTTTTAAGAAGGCGAGAGAGGATACAAGAACAAACTTTCATGTAGGTTTTTTACAGAAAAAGGAGTTTAAATGCATATTCAATAATGACTGAGAAATCTTGGATCAAATTAAGTCAGCATTTGAGGAACTGCAGATGCATCCCTCCTCAATACAGCATTAACTCTAACATGTTATCAGTCAGTTGTTTTTGGATTAGGGGGGGGTGGGTGCTCATGTAACAGCATTGATGCAAAATCTGGATAGGCGACATGTTATTTTAATTTTCGTTGAATAATTTAAATTTCATTAGTCCCATATTTGTTTCATGGGATACTTAGAATACTTTTTTGTTGGTCTGGTAATGTGCTTCTAGGTTTTTATATCGGCTGCCCTCATGGAGTACTACTGCAGTAAGGTAAGTCCTGTTCCTAGTAAATTAACCAAACTGAATATAGTTATTTGTGAAATTATTTTAATAGCAAAGGTGAAGTCATTAAGAGGTACTCACTGAAGGGCTCTCAATTTTGTTCCAGGACAAAGCAGTGGCATTTAAGATATTTGAGCTAGGCTTAAAGGTAAGGCTGGCAATTCAGTACATGCAGACATTTTGTTTGATTTGACACTCTTGAATTACCAATTGAAAGTGCAGGCAGTCAAATGCTGATATGAGTGGGTGTGGACAAAACGTGGCCTAGGCCATGGCCCACCTTGCAGCCTACCCTACCCTATGGCCTACCCTATGGCCTACCCTATGGCCTACCCTATGGCCTACCCTATGGCCTACCCTATGGCCTACCCTATGGCCTACCCTATGGCCTACCCTATGGCCTACCCTATGGCCTACCCTGTGGCCTACCCTNTGGTTGGTCATTAGTCTGAAAAGAACTTCTGACCAAAAAAATTTCCATGTTGCCATGTTCCCACCAATAACGTAGCTCCATTTTCTGCCTTTAAAAGCACACACAACCCACAATTCCTCTATTCGCTCCGACGAAGGGCTAACGCTCGAAACGTCAGCTTTTGTAATCGTTACGGTGGCCAATTTACCATTTCAACTTTGTTGATATATCCAAATTATTTCGTTACCCCCACTGACGCAGCCCCAAACAGTTTCTTTAGAAACTACTGAAGCCTTTATTCATTTTCGAGCATTAGCTCTTCGTCAGAGTGACTTAGGGTAGCGATCTGAATTCAGTTTTAAAACTGGATAAATAAATAAATAAAGTTATTAATGGTGAAGTATTTACCATGCTTGCGAAGACAACTGGCTGATTTTTTCCATCACAGACACTCTTCCCAAGGTTCACTAATTGTTTCACAGGCTTACCATCTTAAATATCCGTGGTTTCGGGTTTCTATGGTAATGGGGTGTGGACAAAACCTTGCCTACCCTGTGGCCTACCCTATGGCCTACCCTATGGCCTACCGGTGGTCAGATTTTTAAAAGGATAGCATTGCTGGAAACCTTTCAACGTTTTCCTGAGTACTATCTTACCAACGACTTTCTTCTGCTGTTTTGGCCGCAACATTCTGATCAAAATTTCTTAAACCTTCTGATAGAATAAGGAAATCCGGGAACAGAAGCCAGTTAAATGCAACTTTTGGGCAAACATCATCATATCCGCTCTGCTTTCAAATTAGTGCAATATTGGCCCTTTCTTTGGAAAAGCAAGTAAAGTTTGAAAAATGTTTATGACAGTGATGCATGCGTGTCCCAGGGTGCTTGTTGCAAATTCAATACTCTACAGCACTTGAGGGCACTTAAAAAATTGGCCTGGCATGTAACGTCTGCGTTTTCTCACCTGGATATGTATGCTCTCCAATATAATGCCGTTCAATACACTTTCACACCAGCACTCCACTATATGTTACCAACTGACAGCCTGCACCATAAAGCTGCCATTTTGCATATCCTCAGCGACCGCGCAATATTGGCCCCACCTCTCCCCTCCCCCTTAACCTACCGTTAGGGTTGAATGATGTGATATTTGCAGTGTTTCGTTCCCTGGGACGTTGAAAATCATGTTAGTAACCTCTTAGTATACCCTTTTTAGAGACAGATAATTGTACATCAGCGTATTCATGCGACTCTTATTGATTTTATTTTTATGTTCTTAAAAATCTGATCACCGGTAGGCCACAGGGTAGGCCATAGAGTAGGCCACAGGGTAGGCCACAGGGTAGGCCAGGTTTTGTCTACACCCGTATGAGTTGATGTTGTTTGTTTTTCATACAAATTGCTTTGAATATCTGTGCTTCCTTTTTAGAAATATATGAATGAAACAGACTATGTGCTGGCTTATGTTGATTATTTATCACATTTAAATGGTAAGTTAAACATTCCAGTTAACTTTTATCTCTCTTAAAATTTGATTGTTAATTCTTGATCTCCTTTAACTAGCTGCTATATATTTCCTTGTGAATTAGTAACAAGAATTTAGTGAAGAAGATAACAACTTCTACCCAGTGATGAGTTTGAGTATTCTCATTACCTGTTTGCTCAATAATGTGTGGATACTACAGGGAGAAGTTGTATATTAATCATCTGGGAATTAGAAGGTTAAAATGTCATTTTCTTAACAATGCTGAACCTGTAAAGTCTACTTTATTTTAGAAGATAAAATTTACTGTGAGATAGGCAGAAAAAAATCAGTCAACTACATTTCATCCCTACAGACCTGTTTTGTGGTTGCCCACTCATTAGGGGATTTTAATGTAATAAAGTTATGTAGGCCTATACTAATGGTATTTTTTTGTATCCAATTACCCTTTGATGTGGTGTGCCTCTGTTTGTTTTAGATGATAACAACACAAGAGTACTGTTTGAGAAAGTTCTGAGTTCCATGCCCAAAGACAAAGCAAGGTTTGTCACAGTTTTAACTGCAGTGCAACCTCCCTCTCCAGTTACTGACTGTTAGGGATTGTTAATATTCTCTCACTCCCAGGATCTCATTTTGTTTAGTATTTTTCCTTAATGCCTGCTTAACAAATGTCATGATGTTAGTACTTAGCATTTGATCTGGGATCAACTATTAGTATAATTTCAGAGCTGAGCAAAGAGTTTCTAGCAATCTGATTGGTCGAGCAGTTCCTTATATGATGCTATATAAACTGTTCCACACGGTTTATATAAAATATTAAAATAAAATGTTAATAAATGTCACAAAAATGTTATGATTTTAGAAATTTCTCTGTTGTTCAGCTCTGAAATTATACTTATTATTCGACGATATTCACCTCGCCTTCGGCGAATAATTGTTAAATAATACTTTAATTGATGTTTTTCTTTTTTCTCACAATTGTCTGTGTGACATTATCTTTGTATTGTGAGGAGAAACTCTATCTTGCATTTGGTTGCTTATGTATGGACGTTCAAGGGTTGCTGCAAATTTCATCTCTTCTGATGAAATTCAATTTAATTTTTTATACATTTACTCTTTGTTAGTGAAGTGTGGGGTAAATTCTTGGAATTTGAAACCACAAGCGGTGACTTGGCAAGCTTAGTAAAAGTGGAGAATAGAAAACTTGAAATCTATAAAGAGGTAAGCTGCCTGACTTTACAGGGCCTATGAGAATTTCCTGACTCTCCCTTGCACCTGAAGCATGCATGTCATATAATTAGGGCATTCACAAAGTCAGGAATGTATCGGATTGGATTGGATTGACAAAACCTAGACTGGATTGGACTGGATTAACAATTCCTGGATCGGATTGCATCCGATTGACAAAACCTGGACCGGATCAGAAAAAAATTGGATCACCATAAATTTCCTGCCAAATTTTAGTGTAAGAACGTACCTCATATTGGAGCTATCCGCTAGTAAACGTGGAAAACATCCAAAAATGCAGATAGGTTCTGCAGCCTTAAGAGAAACGTGTCAAACATGGCAACTGTTTTTCTTGCCATGCACAGTGTGAGTGCGAGGTCTCATGGGAGTTACAGGCGATGATGTTTAAGTTTTTGATCAGAGGTAATGACACCTGCTAAGTAAGTGCTGGTCAACTGAGGCCGCTATGATTTGACCGTAATTGATTGTAGTTGAAAATGAATATCCACAGACATTTTCAAGCTCACAATATGAAATGTTTAGTTGTTTTAGTACAAGTGGATGTGACCGTGACGGGAAAGTGGTGTTGTGTTACATTGCAAGTTGTGTATTGTGACACTGTTGAGAAAAGCGGTGTTACATTACAGTGTCGACCGTTGATTTTGAGTGCTCTATAAAACAGTGTATGGAGTCCGTAATAGCGTTCTATCAAAAGGTTCTTTATGATGATGATAATCTTTAATAATTGCTCCTAAAAAGGCTTTTTGGCAACTATTTGCAATAATGGGTCAGTAATTTACAATAATTTTTAAATAAATTTAAAAAAACTATGTACAGTGTGCAAGGCTACAATTGTGTTTCTTATGGCATAATTATGTATAGTTTTCAAAATTATAAAGTATGTGAACTTATCTCGTCTGTTTTCTGTAGTTCGTTATGCCTGTTTATTAGGTGAAACAACTATACCTTTAGTGTAGTGAGCTGGGGGCGCCTGTGGAATATCTTATACGGAAAAGAACCATTACAACTTTGCTTCACTGAGCTGCAAAAAAAGGCAGTTGTATTTCTATGCCAAAACTTGATCATGAGATGTTATGCGACTATTTTGGCGGGATATTTATGACGATCCGAATTTTTTTGGACCCGGTCCAGGTTTTGTCAATGGGACGCAATCTGATCCAGGTTTTGTTAATCCGGTCAAATCTGGTCAGGTTTTGTCAATCCGATCCTATCCAATCTGGTCTGGCTTTTGTAAACGCCCCATATAATTATGTAAATGATGTACTTTCTGATGAAGTTTAGTTCAATATGATTTTCAATGAGTTTGATATGTTGTTTTCTTTGTTCCTGTACTTTAACTACCATAAATATACCAAAAAAAAAGCAGGGCTTGACACTAACTTTTCAACTTACCAGCCAATGCAAGTGGCTATAGTGACATCTTAGATGTTTTTAGATCTTACGACAATTTCAGTCTGTTTACTAGCCAAACTGGCTAGTGGAAATTGAAAACCACTTGCCAAAACTGAATTTCTACTAGTCTGTGGCTAGTGGGCTACCGTTAGTGTCGAGCCCTGAAAAAGTCAGTGTATTTGAAAATAATTTTAATCAGAAGCCCTTTTTTAAGCTACAAATTAATTTACTTGGCCCTTTTCTGCATGTCATGTTGTACAATTAAAAGCAAATATATTTTAATATGAAATTCTGAATGCTCTTTCAATTTTACTCAATTTATTAAAAAAATGTTCTCTTGCAGGAACTGGAAGGCCATGAAACATCAGTGCTTGTTGACAGATATAAATACTTGGACCTTTTTCCTTGTACTTCTTTGGAGCTTAAAATTATGGGCTATGTGGTAAGATTAATTTTCTTGGAAATCTCCTCTTACTGTGCTACGGTCTGTGCCTCAAAGAGCATTGACTTTGTAATTGTTTTATGATAACCAAATAATTTATGGTAAAAAAACAAAATAAATCTTTATGGCCTGTTTGGTGTAGTGGTTGGATAAAAATCTTGAGTTTGACCCAAACATTTGATTTTCAAACTATATTTACTTACTTAAGGGTTCAACAAAACAAAGTGGCAATGCACCAAGCTTGTTGTCCTCAGTTCCTTCTCAAAAGGAGCAGAACGAAGAAAAACCAGTGCAATATCCCCGACCAGACACATCACAGATGACACCATTTAAACCAGCTGCTGGAGCTGGTAAGAGTTTCCGCAAAATTTCTCTTTAAAATTTAGGGTTGTGATAAAATTGAAGTCTTGTGCATGATTCTGTGGAATTTTGGTTTACCATGACCGCTAAGTTGGGCCAACATATTTTGATTCTGTCAATGGGGTGGTTGGATCAACAAAGTTACAGATTTAAGAACGACTGTACTTTCAGTTGTGCATTTATCAACAACATGAATAGGTTGGCTGTGCAGTGGGATGGCACTCAATCAAAAAATTCAGTTTTTACCGCAAGTGACAGTAATGTCGCAATATGATTGGCCAATTTGCCACTGTTGACAAGAGTACAGCCAAGGCTGCAACATCCATGTCCTGCCAAAAGAATTGTTTTATTTGACATCAATATCACGTTTAAAAAACAATCTACAGTAGATTGGCACAGTGAGACTAAACACTTATTGACAACAATATTCGTCATCACAGTGGTCTAAATTTCTTGCAAGCGCACTCATTTGCACCTGGTGAGTCCACAACATTTTGACTAAACTTTTGCAAACTCAGAGAGAAACTCAAAATGCCTGAACACTAATAAAACAATCATTGAATTTGATTTTTGCATGATATCATGCTCAACCTCATCCAATAAATGCTTATTGCTTTGTAGTTGGACTTCATTCAGTACCAGGGGGAGTTTTTCCAGTTCCACCTGTAGCTGCACATCTTATGACCCTTCTACCTCCTCCATCTTGCTTCCAGGTAGTTTTAACTGTACACCAGTGAGCTAGCTTCAACCCAGTTTGAATTATGTATATCACTTGGGAACTCATTCAGTTAAACAATTTAGCATAGTATGGTTAAAGGATGATGTATTCAGGATAGAACTGTTTGACTGAGGGGAATGGCAGTCTGATTGAAAATGCTAACCATTTTTGAAACTAGAGTGACTTTGTACAGATATTGATATATTAAAGTTAATTTGTAAATAGCTTTAATCCTTGTCAGTGTCTGAAATTTTTCTTAAGTTACCATGGATTTTCAAGTGGCTATTTTCAGTGCAATTGCACTGTTTCCATGTTGAAGGTGTTTTGTTGCACTGTGAAAATCTGACATGACTTTTGTAGACATTGTGAGAAATACCAGTGCTATATTAATTAACTTAAAGGGCTGAAGCACTTTCTTCTCACCAGTTTGATAGGATCGGTGGTGCCCTCTTTGTCATACATGGTTTACTAAAAGAGCTGAAGAGATGATTGCAATTCAGGGGATCTGGCATTAAAAAAATCACTGGTTGTGAAATTTTGTAAAAATTAAGCAGATTTGTAGAATGATTCAAAAATTGCAATTTGGCTCAACTTTTTGGCCAAGATTACAGATTTTGTTTAGAAGTTTAGATTGTGGTTTGCATCATGGTCAGTCTTTGGTTGGCAATTAATAATTAATAATTAATAGATCCTTTACTCATTCTGTGTCTTGCTTTGTTTCTGTTACCTTTTATAATTTATGTTGTGTATTTGTTTAGGGTCCATTTGTAATGATTGATGACTTCATTCAGTTGACTTTGGACTCTGAAATACCAGAACCAGCACCTTCAGGTTGGTGAAAACTTTGGCTAATTGGTGACCTTGATTGTTAGTCGTTATCACAGTGTATGTTTCAAATTGAAGGGTATTGCAGAGTTGGATCTTTTTTGTTTTTGTGTTATTCTGTTAATTGCTTTTAAAAGTAAGATTTTACTTGGTTCCTGATTACCATGAGGTACCTTACAACTTTGCCATTTAGAAAGTGGCATTAATTAGACAGTGTATTGGGAGTTATGTGCTGATCAATTCGAAGCTCCAATATCTTCCCTCCCCGGGGCTAACTCATGGGCATTTGACTGCCATTCGTACCGAGAGGTGGGGAGTTTGAGCCTTGCCTGGGTAGGGTGGGAAATTTGAACTGGAATTGTCACATATTTCCATTCAAACACGTTTGTTATCTTTTATTATGGAGGTGTTTGAGGTAAAGAGTTCAGTTTTTCAAGTATGGCTCAGAAGAAAAGGTCTACAACAATGACATAACTGCTGATCTTGCCTTTTATGAAAAATTATCATAAAATCCAGAAATTTGAATGAACCAATCATCAAAAGTTCAAATTCCTAAGGGAGGGGGGGGGAGGTGTTGAAGCTTCTTATTGATCAATGCATCGTGTAACAGTGTGATATCTTCTAACCACTGCAGGGTTGCCAGACTCTGAGATGGGTCCAGTAAATGGTGTTGAGGGCAGTGAAGATGGAGTGGAAGTTGATCAAAATAAACGGGGTGTCAAAAGACCTGGGGCCGATCATGAAAGTGATGACGAGGGTTCTGCTGCACCACCTGAGAATGACATCTACAGGAGTCGTCAACAGAAAAGAGTGCACTGAAAAAAAAATGATTGTAATTTCTCATATTAATCATCATCTTCAACTTGTAAAACATATCCACAGCAGCTTGCATTTTTGCTGTGTGTTATTCTAAACCTGTGTCAAGAGGGACAAACAGGCTGTCTGCAACAAAGACTAAGCCATTCATGAAATTAATTTTCCTAACTCACTAAGGAAAAGAAATTTTTTTGTCTTATCTCCCCCTCCTCAGACTCCATGACATTTTGTAAATATACACACTGACCTCCTTCTAGTGTTACTAAACAGGCCCCGGTTGTTCGAAGGATGGATAACGCTATACACTGGATAAATCTCTATCCGGTGGATAGTGCAGTACGTTTTGGTAACACTTATCCGCTAGATAGCGATTTATCCGTTGGATAGCGTTATCCGCCCTTTGAACAACTGGAGCCAGATTCTTTCCTCATGTAGTCTGTGCAACATTAACCATGTGATATCCATGCCAAATAAGTTTGTTGTTGTATTCTTTCATTCAATAATTTTACATAAAACATCTCTGCATAGAAGAGCTAAGCCTGGGTTTTATAACCAACTGGTGGAAATGGTTCCATCCTCCCTCCCCACCATTCTCTGGAGGAGGAAGGAAGGTTTAACTTAGGCAAGGGAATTGGAGTCCTAGCTACTCCCTTTTTTAAAGGGTCAAAGAAATTCTTGACCAGTTAAAAATTCTTCACACACAGTTGTTACATAAAATATGTACATTTTGCTGCTTCATGGTTGACCCTCACACCTGGTTTCTAAGAGAAATCACTTGAAAGTCTCAGCTTTCCTGGGTGATCCTTGAGGCCAATTAAGAGCAAGAAACTATTTATTTAAATTAACAAATTGACCCCTGAATTCCATTTCCATTTTATTTTCTGCACTTGTAAGTGGCCTATAGTCAGTGATGTTTGTCAGTATATAGCCCATTTAGAGTTAGTTTTTAGTGCCTTTAATGTTTAAATAGTTTGAACAGTTTACCTTGCACTCACTTATTGCATGCAAGACTGTATTGTGTCTTGAGCTTAGTAACTTTTGAAAGCTCTTATTCTAAAGAATGAAAAATGTATCTTATTGTTTGTAGAATACCTGGTGTGTGGTAATGTTTCTTCAATAAAATGAATGCTTCAACCCTAATCAGCGAAATGAATGCTTAACCCTAATCAGTAAAAGGAGTGCTTAACCCTAATCAGTAATATTAAAATGGTTTAAAAAATTTTAAACTGGTTTAAAAAAATTGAACTGGTTTGGAAAAAATTAAACTAGAGGAGAAAATTGAACTAACAACATACATATATAAGAAGTAATGTGGCACATGAGGATGGACAACTTCGAGCGAAGGAAGACATATACTCAATAAAAAATCTGAAAAGTTTAATAGAAAACGTTTTGGTCCGAGACCTTCATCAGTTGTAATACAATAACTTACAAACTCCTTAAATAGGTTTACAAAGAGGGCGTGATGACACGCACTAACAAGAACAGTAATTACTATGCGAAAAATTATCACAATCTACGAGAAAAACAAACATAGGAATTAAAAAATTGTCGAATCAACTGAAAATGTTAAGAACCAGCATTGAAATAAGGCGAGAATTGCACCAAAATTCCCAATCAAAGCTGAGACCGGGACCTTTTTAAAAGCGCCAGGAATTTCACTCCAAAAGAAAGAATAAACTACCGGTATAATTAATGTGGAGAATTTTTTCAAATTGGGCGAGTATCAAAGTGTGTATGGAGTTTGACTGATGAGTGGATCAACTTGTGTTGGTCTACGAAACAGGCTGTATTAAAATCCATATATGCGTAACTTGAGTAGTCCATTTGCCACTGTAATCGCTCCTTTACTGTTGAGCACTGTCCTGGATTCTCCGTTGCCTATTTCGCTTATATATATATTTAACAATTATTCCACGAGTGTGCATTGGATATGAGATGATAGATAGCCAACAAGGAGCGTAGCGCTGAGTTGGTTATAATCATCTCATTCAACAAGTGCGAGTGGAATAATTGTTTTATTAAAAACATTAAATTATTAAATTTTTAGCTCCCTTTTAATTTTAAGCTGATACGCATGCTTGCCATATTTGTGGATTATGGTATATTGGCTGATACACCATAATGGCTAAGCCAATAAAAAGTCTTGAATTGCATTATCCAATGATCTAATTTTTAATAAATATATATAAGTAGAAACTTGTTAGGGGTCCCACAAACAATGCTGATCAGTCTCGAAGGGATTGTGGGCTCTTGAAATAACGTAGACAAAAGCAGAAATATGATGGTCAAGAGGCCAACTCCAATGTAGCTTTGTTGGTTTATTAGCTCGACGTTTCGACCATCTCGGTCTTCCTCAGGAGCATACTAATTACATGAGCAATATTCAAATTTAAATATACATATATGTATGAATAAAATTGGTGAATAAAATTGTCGGATAAAATTGCCAAAATTGGCATTTGGCAATTTCATCCGACGAGTGCTACACAAGCTGTGTAGTACGAAACTAAATAGCAATAAATGTCAAGTCAAGTCTTCAGTTGACCACTCTGTTCTCTATTATTTAACAATTATTCGCCAAAGGCGAGGTGAATATCGTCGAATAATCCCCGAGACGAAGTCGAGGAGATTATTCGACAATATTCACCGAACCTGAGGCGAATAATTGTTTTAGTATAATTTCAAAGTTGAGCAACAGAGAAATTTCTAAAATCATAACATTTTAGTAACATTTATTAACATTTCATTTGAACATTTTATATAAACCGCGTGGAGCGGTTTATATAGCGTCATATAAGGAACCGCTCGACCAATCAGATTGCTGGAAACTCTTTGCTCAGCTCTGAAATTATACTAAATTTATATATATAATTATATATATATATAATTATATATGATACTGTAAAAGCCCAGAGATAAGCTGCACCTGCAGATAAGCCACACCCTGAATTTAGCAGCTCAAATTTTGGAAAAGTTTTTTTGAAAGAAATCAAAAGAAATCCAGAGTCGAGTCTTCTTTATCCACTGTTCATCAAACGTAAACTCAATATTAACATTGCAACGGAAAATACTTCAAAGTCTTACCCACAATTTTAGCACTTTAATATAATGTACATCATTTGTACCAACTTTGACATATGATTGGCCCTTTTCTGGTATTTTTTGACAGGAATTCCTTCATTCAACACAGTTTTTCCATAGATTTTTGCATTACAACAAACAAGAACGTGTGCAGAACATTCGAAGCATAGTAACCAGGCATTAGATTGAACGCGAAAATGGAAATTAGTGTTGACATTCACAACGCCTTTTTCAAATGTTCCCACAGATAAGGTGCACCCCCAATTTCTAGCAACGATTTTTGAAAAAAAAGTGTGGCTTGTACGCAGGCTTTTATGGTATATCATGGGACATTTTGGTGTGTAGTGTCACTGAGTAATTTATGAGTTGTGCCATATTTTGATGAGGTCATAGGTCAATCAAAATACAAGCAAGTAAAATTCAAAGTAATACTACCCGCCAAATCATAAAATAAGTTATTTATTATCCAACTTCTTTTTTACTTGCCAGGTATTTCCATTCATTTTTGTAAGAGGCAGGAAAAGCAAAGTAGATAGAGAAGCATGGGGCCTGCAGTTAACTGGTTAAACATGTCTTTACAGTACAAAATAACCAACTGTTCAATATCAAAGGATATTTTTACCCTATTAGCATGTTATTTGTACTCTACTTTGTGCAGTTGGGTGAAAAATGGATATTATTCACCTTTTTTAGGGAAGATAAAGACAACTGTCTAGTTTGATTTGTTTAATTACAGGGGTCCATCAGGAGCATCAACAAGAAAAGCATTAAGAGGTGATCCAATTTTCCCTTCACAAACTGACTATTTTAAGCCTTGCATTGTAATTTGAGCGTACACTGCTGGTCATCAAACCTTTCAAGAGCTAGGGTTTGGAGCTACAGTTTATCAAATGGATCCCATATTGCTACACATGCCTTCAGTCATAGATCACAAATGACATCAAAATGAGACAAGAAAAAAAAAATGGCACACAGAACAGCCTAGTTTGTCACTGATGTGCCTTCTTCCCACATTTTGATATCTGTAATCTATAACTGAACAGACCCACGGCATTATGGAATCTAATTGTTTTATATGATAAAGAAGCAAAAAAAGAAAAAAAAAATTGAATGATTTCTCATCTAAGCATCCGACTTCCATTATATCATAAGAGCCAATAAAAAATGCATTCACAATTTAGATTATTTTATAATACTACATGGAACATAAGGCAACTCAGGTCAAACTTGTCTCTTTAGTTTATGAGACAAGGAATAACACAGCAAATAATGTAATTCACTGAGAGGTAGATAGGTGGGTCTCTCCTTTAAAGCTAAAAATAAAGGCTCTAGATATGTTGCCTTAAGTTGTTATTGCCTCAGTATTATCGTTGTATACTATATGGAGATAAAGAAAACTCTTCGAGGCGTTCTTCATCAGGTAAAACGTTATTCAACCTTTCCATCATGGGAACAAGGCGCTTAAGATTAGCATCAATTCTTCTCAGATTTGCATTCATTTCTTCAACTTTTTTCATCTGCATCGCTACCCGAGATAATCTTTTGTATCTGTCGTTCACTCTTCGTAGAACTGAGGCACAGTAAGAATCCATTTCTCGAATCCGTGATGACAGCATAGATTGATCAAACGACACAGCCTCAGCACACTGCTTTAAATGTTTCTCATAGCGCGAACACAACGATAAGCAAGGACGCAAATCGAATTTATCAAAGAAATCTAAGTCTCTACTCGCAGGTACATTGACAGTGCTTCTCAGCAGTGGTAAGAAATAAGGTAATTTGTTCAAATTCCTTATATCGAGATCTTCACTCTTGGAAACAAGTTTTGTCTTTCCAGTTGGCGCATTGACGACCATGATGTCTTCCAGTTTCGCTCGCTGTTTGGATTTCGATTTTCCATCTTCATCTTTGACTTTCCCCAAGGATTGCGCGGTATATGGAACATTTGGATGACCCATCTGACCCGGAAAACTATTGCTTTGCTCTTGTCCCATAGTTAACCTCTACCTGACGATCAACTAATCTTTTTTCGGTGGACACGTTTGGTTTCGTCCGTAGATCTTCCCATCCGCCATCTTTGACCATGCAGGTAGTTTCCAGTGTCCTTACGGTAGCTCTTACTTGTACCCTGGCCCTTCCAGGTTAGCCTGCCGGCGGCCGCGAGCAAGCCCGTGTCTCACACACGAATCATATGCCTTTGGTTTTTGGATCTGCGTGCTAGTGACAAGTCATTGTTCGTATTTCTTTCAACCTCATTCAATAGTTGTCAATCATTCTCCTGCAGAGAAGAGTAAAAAAAAAAAAAAAAACCAAAACAAAACAAAAACAAAGAAAAAAAAAAAAAAAGGATTCTGCGAGGACTTTCCAGAAAACCCACATTCGCATAAAATCAGTGTCTGTCTACCTTTTCAGGCGACTAATTCCAGACCATTATCAGAATTACTGTACGGATCCGCAAATGATCCCAGGGGCCCGTTTCTCGTAAGTCCTGGTAAATTAACGGGCCCGAAGCTATATGTTAGGATCAAAATTTAAATAATAGAGAAGCAGTTTCTGGCATCGTAACCAATCCATTTTGTTTCTATAGCTGAAAGTTTTATTGTGTAATTCTAAAACCTCTCAAACTATCACCTTGAAGGAAAACAGAACAGATTTACGGGCCCGATAAGTCACCGGAACCTTCGAGAAACGGGCCCCAGGACCGCAAATGATCCCAGACCGCAAATGATCCCAAGACCG